TGATGCTTCCAGGCAGACTGCTGGGAAGCTGCAGGCACAGCAACAACATGAAGGTGTCTTTACGCTATAAATTTTAGTTCTGGAACAGATCTGGTACTTCCCAATAAATAAAATTAAAAAAAAGAGGAAAAATAAAAGACCGGTCTCTTGCACTACTGATCTCTGGGCGTTCTTCCCTGTAGATAGGACAGAAAAAACAGATGAGTGGGAGAAGGAGTCAAATAAACTGGGAAACTCAGAAGGCCAAGGCAAGCTGGGTAGGTGTGTACCGGCAGGGAGGCAAGGGGGGATGCCTGGCCTGCAGAAGGACTGGGAAACTACTGGCAGCAATTTAGTCAGAGTCAGTCCTTTCTCCGTGTTAGTGAAGAACTCTGTGGAGGCAAAGATTGGGCTTAGTCTTCTATCCTTTCATCCCTAATTTCAGACCATGCTCGTATGCCTTCCTAATTGCATCTGTCCTCTGTGGATATTGACTTCTGAAAGCTGCTTTTCGGCAACAATACTGGTGATTTCCATTTATCAGATATTTCGACAAACAATGAAAAGCTGGACTCTGGCACATTTTGAAGTCTTAGAGTGCAGCCTGACCTGAGGGTATCATCTGCTCTCATGCTGTTCTAACACCTTCTTGGTGCAAAGCACGGATGGATGCTTCTCTCCCTTTAGTGCTTTAGCTTCTGTGGGAAGGAAATCCCAGCACATAGATCAGAAGAAAATGCTGGCTGATGTGAGGCTGAGTTGCAAAACCTGGCAAGGCACACACTGCCTGCACAGTGTCAGTGTACCCTTCGAGTTGTAAAGTGGCAAAAGAGTTTTAAATACAAATGCCAACATTTTTTATTAAAAGTAATACACACTTTAAGAAATACCTACTCCTAAAGTCCAGGTATGGTGATTCTTTCTAATTAAAAATCATCCAGAAATGTAGTGTGATACTATATCTTCATATTTTCAGACTCCAGGGCAGCAGGACCAGGTGATGAGGCAGCAGATGGAGCAGCTGCAAAGGCTGGTGGCTGAACAGCAGAAAATTATTGCGCTTTACAACCCAGGTACTCAGGGAATCCCTCCTGATGCTGTGGCACACTCACCTGCTGATGCTTGCACTCTGGCAGTGAAATGCAGCAGTTCCATAAAGAAACAGAAGGTTTGATAGTTATTTTCAGTGGCTGGGGGCTCTTCCTCTGGCAGTTGGGCTAGAACATTCATTTCTTTACACACAATACACAAAAGCTATAAACCCCAGAAAACACTTCTTTCTACCTTTGTATATTAAAATTGCAGGAGAACCATGAGGAGGAGTCCTTTATGTTTAATAACAGACCTCCTGTACAGACTCCTGTTGAAGTATACATATGAAAGGTGCTGCAGAAAATTATAGTATAGCAGTGAGAATCACAGAATCACAGAACAGCAAGGGTTGGAAGGGAACTTGGGAGATCATCTCTTCCAACCCCCCTGCTAAAGCAGGTTCTCCTAGAGCACAGGTTGCACAGGACAACATCCAGGTAGGCTTTGAGTATCTCCAGAGAAGGAAACTCCACAAGCCCCCTGGGCAGTCTGTTCCAGTGCTCTGTCACCCTCAAAGTAAAGAAGTTTTTCCTCATATTCAACTGAAACCTCTTATGCTTCAGTTTGTGCCCATTGCCCCTTGTCCTGTTGCTGGGCACCACTGAGAAGAGTCTGGCTCCATCCTTATGACATCCACCCTTAAGATATTTGTAAGTGTTGATGAGATCCCCTCTCAGTCTTCTCTTCTTCAGGCTGAACAAGCCCAGCTCCCTCAGCCTTTCCTCATAGGGGAGATGCTCCAGTCCTCTTATCATCCTTGTTGCTCTCCTCTGAACTCTTTCTAGGAGTTCCTCATCTTTCTTGAACTGGGGAGCCCAGAACTGGACACAGTACTCCAGG